GCAATATCAAATGTCAGTATTCTCTTCCACCATCTTCTGAATTGCTGAAAATTGTGAATTTAGTTTTGTTGGGTTTAGTATAATGCCACCTTTATACTAAAAAACATCTATAGAGGATGCATTACATATGTATTACCTTATTCAAATTGAAATGAGTGACCATTTTAGAGGGTTCACACACAGGCCTCTGTTCGGGCTAATTCAGAGTTGTTTATGATCAAAGTTATACAACTCCAATTTAAGTTACTTTTGGGTGCAATAACTTTTACATTGAATGTCAAGTCTGTGTTTTAGCAAAAAAAGGGTATGTGTCCAAAAACACGTACTGAGTAGGAGTTACATGACATAGGCTAAATCGTTTACATCTCTGGTTCACCCCAAACAATGATAAAACCTTACAGTAATCTCACAAAATCATGTATTCCATAAGTATGTAATCATGTCAGTGCAATTTAGACAAGTCCAATGGATTCATAGACCCAGAAAACATGGGGTTAGACACCAAGATTACTTGGCTAGGTCAAATAATGAAGGAGTTAGGATATTTTAAGGGCTTCCTGCCCATCTTGGACACCATCTTGAAAATTACACCTTTCTAGTGGTCAAACTTTGGTAAACTTTTAGTATGTTATTAAGGACACCTAATACTACAAAAAACAGCTGAGAAACCTTTTGTTAGAATTTTTTTAGGGTTAGGTGTTTTTTTTTTTCCATATATGCAGCCGCCTAATTACCGTATTGGCCCGAATATAAGACGACCCTGATTATAAGACGACCCCGCTTTTTCCAGATGTACCTTTTGGAAAAAGGCTTTTTAAAAACCAAATCTTGTTTTTTCTCAGTAAAACACATTTTGTCTTCAATTATTTTCATATTGCATATTTTTCCTATTTTAATTTTTGTTTTGAAAGTATGGTAAAAACTGGTAAAATGTACCAACAATCACATTTTAAAAATATACACTTTTTGATATACCATTAAAAAAAAAAACAGGTAGCCCATCTGAATTAGGACATTTAGGCTATCCATCTAATTAGTAGCCTACCAAAATCTTATTAACCTTATTAACAAAATCTTACTGTAGTCTTCAAATCTGGGTACTGTCTTACGTTTTAAAATCACAAAGAGAGCAAAGAGAGTTCAGGCTAACAGGACAGTCACGACTCATGCAGCTGTAAGGTTTTCTGCTTCTTTAGTTTTTACTCGCGATCTTTACAATACGCATTGCATTACGTATTTCGTGGCACACTCGCTTTATGCGTATTTGGCGCCACCTATTGTTGTGGGTGTATTATTGACATGTCAAAAGTCTAGACTAGAGACCTGCACTCCCGCGGGAGTACCGCGGGACACAACGCAACAGGGTGCGGCGCGGGACAACTCTTGATGGGCGAGTGCGGGTGCGGGCGGG